GGCAATTTCGCAAGTGGTTAATTTCGCGGTCGGTGAATTATGAATTAAGTACTTGGTATTATTCGGTATGAATTATTCGCGTGTTGTTATTTTCGCGGTCGGGAACGCGTTCACGAAATTCGCGAAAATTAAACCACCACGAAATATACAGCATATACAGTATATGCAAATAACCTACCAGTTTTCTATAATGTGGTGTAGTATGTTTGTAGCATTAATATGTAAAATTTATATCTAGTAGGCAATTTGTTTTTAGAATTTTAGCATATGGTATTCGTATGATGGTTTAGCTGTTTTAAAATTCAGCGCTTCCCACGTTCAATTTTTGCCCAATGCATTACGCAATCAATTCTATTTCAGATCAAATCAGAGAAGTGCTGAAAACCGATGAGAGAGTCAAGGTGCTTGCCGAAGAACTCTACGATAAGAAATCTCTCCTCATCATGGGTCGAGGCTTCAACTTCGCTACCTGCCTAGAGGGGGCACTCAAAATCAAGGAGTTGACGTATATGCACTCGGAGGGAATCTTGGCAGGAGAGCTGAAACATGGACCCCTTGCACTCGTCGATTCCAATATGCCTTTGATGATGGTGATAACGCGCGACCAAGTGTACTCGGTAGGTCATTCCTTGACATGCTGGTTGCTAGCCTTTGTTGGAGTCCATACCCTTCACTCTTAGAATATTTTCTCACACTCTTTGTTAAAAGAATATGATTTAAGACAGTTGTTAGCACTTTTAATGAAAGACAAACAATTATATTCTTATACTCACTTTACTTAATTGGTTATCTTGCTCCACGATTGTTCGTTATTTTGTCCTTTTATGCCATGGGGCATTTAGCTTACCAGCCAAACTTCTCCATTCCTACCTGTCCCCCTCAGGCTCCCCCAGCTTGTGCCAGCTGGTTTCTGGGGCACGATGTGAGAAACTTATAATAATTCTGACAGTGCGAGTCTAATCCTTTCAACATGAAGTTTTATACATAGTCATTACGTTATAAACTTAGTATTCATGATGTTTATGACAATTCTGCTTTACCCGTCTCTTGATTGCTTGCACACAGAAATGCATGAACGCACTGCTGCAAGTGACGGCGCGCGGCGGCCGCCCGATCATCATCCTGGAGAAGGACGACGACGAGACGAAGAAGCACGTGGAGAAGATGCGATACATCGAGGTGCCGCACACCGTTGACTGCCTTAGCAGCATCCTCACCACCATCCCGCTACAGCTGCTCTCGTACCACATCGCCGTTCTGAAGAAGTGCGACGTGAGTATTATTATTATTATTATTTTTATTATTAAATCTTTATTGCATGTAATTCAAATACAAGTACATGTACAGTCTTTTTCATGGAGAAAAAATCTGATAAATGCAATAGTGTTGAGCAGTTAATATGATAAAATTTCTGAGTGATACAGTACAAAACAGTGCTATACAACATGAAGAAAAAAATATAGTAGCACGTGTATGCACGTGTTAGCTAATCATGATGGCGTTAGTTCACAACTTGTGGAATTCTTAGACGTGTAGCGCTGTTAGTTTGGAATTCAGGGAATTATAGTGGGTTGTAACAGTGTGAGATCAAAATACGCAGAATTCTTGGGAGTCTGACGGTATTAGATGAAAATTTACAGAATTCTTAGTGGTGTAGTCGTGCTAGATGAAAAGTCATATGGAATTCATAATGGTTTAATGGCGTCATTATTATCGGTGTAATAATGTCAGATGAAAACTTATGGAATTCTTAGGGGGGTTTTAACGTTCTAAGTGTATTTGGTCAGAATTTCATGAAAGCTTTAGTTGTAAAAATTTCATTTCTAAACTTCCGATAAATAAATTGCATAGGGACTTCTTGTAAACAATGCACTAAATAAATGTGCTTAGCTGCTATATCAGTAAAATTAAACAGTCTTTATGTACATTTAATAATATCCTCTAAAAAAAGTGTGTGAATGAAGTGTTTACATAATAACAATAATAGGTGCGTTCACACTGGCGCGAATTAGCGGGCTGCAAAACCCGGTTTTTGCAGCCCGCTCGAAAAACCGAGCTTTTTACAAGTGTGAACGCAATTAGCTCACTAAATCGCGCTCAAAATAGCGCGCTGCAAAGAACACTTCCGACAGCCTATTTGCACCGCGGCGTGTTAGCGAGATATTTCCGCCTGTGTGAACAACGACACAATTAGCTCACTATTATCTCCGCTATTAGCGGGATGAGCAGCGTGGTTTTTCTTGTGTGTGAACACGCCTAAAATTATGTGTTTATTCCTTGAAATTAGAACCTCTAAACTAGGTTTATTCTCAACACAAACCTTTCTCCACTATCCTGGAACTTACTATGTATCACAATACTCTCAGCTGTATTAAACAAATATAACCTGTTAGAAAAATTCGACGAGCGCCATTTCTGTTGACCTGTTACATACAGATGCCCAATGCGCATAGCGTTTGGTTAACTTTGACTCCAAGATCGAATGTATCATTGGATGCCTGCTGTCAGTTGTGACATCATGACGAAGTTAGCTGAACGCTATGCGCATTGGGAATCTGTAAGTCACAGGTCAACAGAAATGGCGCTCGAAGTATCACCGCTCGTCACTTCAAATTTTTGTAACAGGTTATATTAGTTTAATACAGAGTATTGTGATACATAGTAAGTTCCAGGATAGCGGAGAAAGGTGTGTGTTGAGAATAAACCCAGTTTGGAAGTTCTAGTCTCTGAAAACTGCCGGGCATTTAGGAAATCGAAAACCGTGCCCGGCAGCCGGATATTTTCTAAGTGTCGATTGCGAGTTCGTTCGCTCAGTGATCCGAAGCTAGGAGAATTGGGCTTGTTCGAATATACAGCTCTAACGAAAATCGCTTGACATTTCTAAACAAATGTAGAATACTTTGGATCACGTAGTACACTGTTTACTTGAGAAATCACTGAAAATTAAAAACTGCCGGGCATTTAGGAAATTGAAGACCGTGCTCGGCTGCCGGGCATATAGCCACTTTTTTTTATTGTATTTACCCGCCGTTATCAAAATAGTGTTAACCCAAAAATAAATTGATTACCACGTGTTTCTGACTATATACATGGAAAATCGTAATGAAATTCACAGCAACGTTTCTTTTTGCGTGCCGGCACACTCGTGTGTCATTCCCGATTGTAGCTCTAGTAACTATAGGCTATAATATAGTATAGCCTGGTTGCCGGACCTAGTTACTAGAGCTATCCCGATTGCAGCTTTTTCCTCGATTCCGGGAAAGTTTTGCTGTCGCTCCCTCGTACCAGCGGTGCCCACCCCTACATATACAGCAATAAGCATGCCCACGTGACTGTAACAATCAGTGCATTAAATTCCTCCCTCCCCCTGTACTTCAATCAATGCCGCCCAGCCAGCAAGCACGCACGCACGCACGCACGCAGCCACGATGTGCACTGCCAGACGTGGGTAACAGGGGTGTCGCGTTTAGCTCGGCGCCGAATGTGCACCGTGTGCGGGGGCCTTTACACTAGAAATTTTTCAGTTGTCCTATCGGGCAACTAGCAGACCTACCAAGTCTCACGCATTTCGCGGGAGACTCACGCATCTGGACCCATTCTCCCGCACTCCCTCCCGCATGCCCTATGCATTCTCACGCATTCACACAAAAGAAAAAAAATTAATACTGTATTTAACTACTTAACTTCATACTGCATGTAACACTTCAGAATTAACGTTTTTATGCCTTAAAATTTAATGTTTGTCTTCTTTTCTTCGAATGCTAACAGAATATATGTATTGCAACTACATATTTTAAAGCCAAATATTCAGAAACTGGTCGTGTTTGAAAATATTCTGAACCTCCAGCATTATAGACCTCTCCCCCCCCCCCGCATCTGTCAGCAGAATCCACATTTGTGCTATATTCATTTCATGACGGTATTACTATTTAATGTGAATACGTGTATCATCTCATATTCATAGTTTATTTGTTCCTTTTGACAACTTGAAAAAGAGATTCAAGAGTCTCATACAATGTGTTCAGAATAGCTTAGAATGCACCAAATTGCACCATTTTTTCTAAAATTTTCCGGGGGAGCATGCCCCCGCATCCCCCCTAGCTGGCCAGGCACATCCATTGCTCACTGTGCTAGGACCTCGCAACACACAAACACGCCTTTGAATCCATTATGCGCGTTTTTTTCCCCAAACCGGCCATTACCTCCGTAAGAACATTTCGAGAGAGTAAATACATTATGAATCATAGCATAATATTTACACATGTATGATGTAATAAAAATGTGAAAACGTTTTTTGTTTCATGTCACATAGAGCACTTTCTTGGCTGTTACTGCGATCATAGGAATTATCACCTACTGCACCTGCCATGTGCCTGGTCAACTAGTTTCTTCTGGAAATGTTGGCAACAATAAAACTGATGCGACCGTCATGGATTCGGCCTAAATTTAGACATTCATGTTTCAGCAGCAGGTTGTATACAGTTTCATATGAGAAGGCTATACGATCTCCAGTTGGTAAACGGATACCACAGACTCCTGCAAATACTTATGCCAAGCAGATCAGGTTCGGTGAAAAAGCATATGGTGACCTGAGAGAAAATGTTAGATATGCGTGCCATATTTATCGAGAAAAAGTTGACAAATTACCTGCAAGCGAATCTCATAGAGTTATTGAGAATATTCTTAGTGATATCAAGCTGCACAAAAAGAAAATAATAGCAACTGAATTCACTGAAGTGTTGCAGGTTCTTGCGACTTGTGATAATAATGTTTTAAAGAGATACTGTAATGATGATGGCTTCAAGGATTTATGGATGTTAGGAGCAGAAGTTTCCAATACACTCAGCGATGACCAGTTAAAGATAGTGTTAAGGAGCCTTACGAAAATCTATATGCTATGGTCAGCTAGCATCACTGATGTACTGATGGGCTTGGATCACTGTTGTGCACAAAGGTGTAGAGACTGGAATACCACAACATTGCTCCTGGTGGCTGACATTTGGCACTTGATGGCTGTAAAACCTATCCAGTACATGCAAGCAATGCTAAACCTGTTTGATATAGACACTGAAACGTTTGCAGCATTATCTACACCACAGCTCGTTCACTTAACCTACTTTGTTGGTAACGTGCGTGGAGGACCAAAATCCCTACTTTCATCTATAGAGACTCGACTTGAGAATGTCATCGAAGATTTGTCAGTGTCAGAGATTGGGCTTGTATGCCATGCCCTTTTCAAGTCGTCCTATAGCATATGCTCGACGACTTTGCTGCAGAAAATTGGTAACAAAGTACAAAAAGACTTTAGTGAGCTTGACATCTACTCATCTGTAAGCATACTAAAGCAGTTTAGGTACTCTGGGTTTTATCAGCCCAGTTTCTTTGCTGCATTAGAGCTTTATCTCACAGATGAACATGTAGAAAAGCTGAACTTAGTTGCTATATCACATTATGCAGTTACATTTGCATCATTTCGCTACTGGAATGAGAAGATTTTTAATGCATTTGTTAACAAATTTATAAGTGTAGCAAGTGTGCCTAGAAAACTTGTGCCTTTTAGTAAAAAGGTTCAGGAATTGCATCCTTCAGTTAGAGCTCGATGTAAAGATATTGCTAAGCTGCTCTGGGCTGTTACGTCAATGAACCATCCATGCGAACATCTCAATTTTGACGCGGTTGCACTGGACGAAGTACAAAGCAGAGTTGCAACTGGTGAAATGGACTGGTTTCCACATTACCTGATTGATTGTCTGCATTCCCTTGCCATGAGAGGAATCTTTCCTTATGACCTCATCAGTTTGGTATTGAGTACTGACTACTTAAAAAAAATCAAAGGTAATGTAATCATTGAACTTCTGTGGGCAATTTACTCTGTAAAGTCCAGAGTTTTACAGTAGTGATCATTATTTATTCATAGTAATAAATTGTTTTACAGCATGAAATGCCAGTAAAAACGAACTGTCATTGCAGTAACACAAAATAATTGTGCTGGTCTTTACTTTGCCATACGTTATCAACCTGTATTGCCTTCAGTAAAATCCTTCCCGAATTTTGTAAATAATCAGAATTCTGTTTATAACGGATGATGAATAATCAATTTAATTCATGTAAATATGTGTGTTACGAACAGAAGCTGCTCTTTATGAACCTAGACGGCAGCTGTTTGTACTGGATGGTTCAATTGGAATTGAATGTCAAGATTACACAGGAAATCGACTACCACCGTCATTCAAGGACCAACTACCTGCAGCAATAACTGGCACAGATGGCTTTGAATTGAAGGCAAAAGTTGGCCTCACAGATATTATGCAATGCTTAAGTGACCTTCTTGGTGGAAAGACTTTCATACATTGCCGATCAATAATACCTCATTTCAAAACGGCAGGTATATATTATTAAGGAGATAGTTGAAACTCAAGATAAATTCAAAATAGTTCATCACTGTTATTTTTGTAAACAGGTTAGTAACTATTAATAAAGCTGTATATAGTTATTGTTAATGTAGTCTCTTGTGACTAGTACTGATATATATATATATATATATTATATACAAGTTGGATTTTAATAATTAATATTTAAGCTGTAATTTCTAATTGTGCATCTAAGGTCTTGTGCATCTTTTGTTGACCATAATATATTAATTTTATTGTGCATTGTTTTAATAGTAGTATGTTAATTCTCCATGTTCAATTTCATGGTGAAGATATCATAATCCATGTTGACTCTGCGGGGCACCCATTGGCTGTGAAGCAAGGACATGCTTCTAAAGCTCACCAGAGAGACCTTGCAGTTCCACTGAGTGATAACATGTTACATGGATTGCTAGGCAGAATACCAGCTCCAGAAAAGTCACCGGCAGTTGAAAACAGGTATATCATGTACGCAGATGTATGCTAACCATGTTGCTTTCATGTTTCTTTCATTAGAAAGTTTTTTGTTTGTTCTGCACTTGTGGATATAGTAAACTGCTTATACCAGCCAATAGTGGAGAATGGTGATTGACCATGAGCAAGTGCTTCCAAAGATCTTAAAAAAATCTTTAAACGATGTCCTATAAATTCTTTATCGGTTATAATGTAAAATACAAAAAGCCTCACTTCACAGTCGCATTTATCACAACAGGAAACTAGCAGTCGAGGTCCTAGGTCAAAACCAATGCGTCAGAGATAGAAATGTTCTACTTGGATTGAATCGGATGAAAATGCGACAACTGGAAAAGCTTGGATACAAAGTTATTTTAGTATGTATATATTTTCTGATTTTCCGCTCTTCCTGCAGCATCATGAAGGTGTGCTGCACTTGCTACTGCTCGTATTAACGGTATTATAGCATGTTTTTCTAAATGTATGGGTGCAATTTCTTGAATTATTACATGTATGTGCATGTGTGACTGTGTGTGCATGCATGTATTTGTGTCATAATTTGGGGCATGTGTTCTGGCTTATTTATGCAGAATGCAAGTGATGCAAATTTTGCTTAAAAATATGCCCCCATGCATTCTCTTTCTTTGGATAATTGCAACCCCTTACCATTAACTCTAGTAATACCCCCATGTTACGTAAGTAATGCATTTCAGAAAAAAACATTATTATAGTATATAAATATAAGTCAGTTTCAATATATTTTTATGATGTGTTACTGTGTTTCAGATCTATCCATTTGAAATTCAACAATTGGAAAACTCTACACATGAAGAGAGGGAGGACTTCCTAAAAGAGAGGCTCAGTAACTACATTGCCTTCTAGACTGGTTATACAATACATTATCCAGAATATTGCGACTATAAATTAGTTTTACGTCAAAGGTCTGTTGGATGAAGCTAATTGGAAGGTAGTGAATGTTATTTCTGAAGTATAACCAATTAATTGGTAACTGTAAGATGCTGCAATTTGCTGTTCTACAAAGTGTATTGTGTTAGAGAATTCTGAGCCATTGCACTTACACAAAAATATATTAAAATTCAGAAACATATGAAATCGTCTGTATTCTGAGAGCAAAGATTCCTGGGTTTTAACTTTTAAAATTTCAGTGAATTTGCTATATGTGTAATAAAATTTAAAAATTTTAAAAATTAAAAGCATAAACGGACTTAGTTTGTGTCTTGTTGCAGTTATAATACTAAATTGTGGTGTACCCCCTCTCACTCACACGCCCTCCGTTTAATTGTATCTCTGTCTGTCTGCCTCTCTCCCTCTCCTCTCTCACTCTATCTCCTTTCCTCCCTTACTTTTACCCCATACTCTTTCTTCTCCCTTCTCCACCAATGCTCCTGCATTCTTCACCTCCTTTCCCCCCTCGACAGCCCTTCTTCAATAACCTTCCCTCATATATATACCTTCTCCACTTTTTTCTATAAAGAAGTGGCCACCACCACGCCATATGAGTCTTAAATGACTCACTTGATGTGCTACGCAAATATCGATAACAACCGCACATATCAATGCGCAAATAACCCAGGAATTTGCTGTATAAAATCATGTATATATTTAACAAACAAAATAGTTCCGGATAGTCAGTGACAATCAGTGTAGAGGTGATCTTGCGAGTGTATAGTGGTGGCTGGCTTGTGCAGGTACGTGTTGGTTCGTAATCTCAGGGTGGCTAGCTCCTATTAGCAGATGGTAGTAGAGGGTGGAGGCGTGCCTGTGTTGAATCCTTCAAGCAGCGTCGTCGGTCGGTAGGGTGCTAACGGTAACATAATATTCTCCAAGTAGGATCATCAGTAAGTTAGCATCTCCAGATGGCAGCGTTTCCAAATAGGTTCAGAATCTCCAGACGGCAGAGGTGTCCTAGGTGGACTGACTCATCTTGAGCCAGCCGCCGTGGCCGGTGCCAGTCGGCTGTCGGTCCTGCTCTCGGTCCGACTGTCTCTGCTCTGAGTGTCTCTCAGGTTGACTTCTCAAGAGGGCGTATTTATTACAAAACTGCGTGCCGTGACTTGTCTTGCGCAGCTTGTGAGGTCGTGCGTTTTGGACTTGAGGGCGAGAGGGTGAGAGGGCGAGACCTCGGGTGATAACTTTCATTTTTATGTGTTAGTTATAGCTTTTGCTTATACTCTAATTGTTCAGTTTACCGAAGGTTGCATAGAAACGCAGAAAAACTGCGTTATTTTTAGGTCGTTGAACTGTAGTAAAATTTGTTAGTTTTGTTGCCTAGAGAATCCATTACTATATTTCCCTCAGGTAATGCCTACTAGCCACTACTAGCCACTACTACTCTAGCCATACTGAATTACGAGTTTTTGGATGACGTAAGCCAAAGACGTATACGTTTTGTGAAACTAAATTGCCATTTCTAATAAAAACACCGAGACAGCAGTGCCGTAGCCTGAGCTAATTCTTAGAGTGATGGGGAAAAATTTCATGACCTTTAACTGAGTAATATTGACAATAGCGATGAAATGTTTGTAGTTTCAAGAAATAAACTGTAGCATTATATATAGCCCATAGAATTATAACTTTATTATATGCTATTCATGGCACACCCTCATTGTAAGTGATTGAATTTTGTTAATTTTGTTTTGTTATATTTTCAAAGTTTAATTCATTCTAACATTCAAAAATCATTTGTAGTATATATAAACGATAAATGATTTTTAAATGTTGTACAATATAATATATATTAATATATTATACAATATAATATTGTACTACAGAGTTGAGTACGTAGCCAAGTTGAAACGTCTTCGTGCATAAAAAACGTTACGCGCCTCTCGCGGGTTCGGCTGAATTAGCCGTGAAATTACCCACAGATATCCCATAGATATAGTACAGTATACTATTCTATTATTCATTCTATTCATTCCATATCCATCTTCTATTCCATATCTATGGATAACCTCTAATACAGATATACATTGTACGTATCTATGCACTTTGTGATTATATATGAATATACACACTGTATGAATATATTTTACACTCCATTAATATATACAATGTATAGACCGGGAGCCCAGGGGGGTCAGACTAGCTGGAAAGGAAACCAATTTTCATGCATATAGCAATGATTTGTGTACATACCCGTGTAAGGAAATGGAAGTCTGCCGGGCAACCGGTGGTGGGTGTGGTCAGTGGGGTCATTTGAAAGGCACCCCAAAATTGAGCTAGATTAGCTGGAGAGGAAACCCCATGAAACCTATTGGAAAATGTTCGGCATGGTCCCAGGTATCAGGAATGGACACTGCCAGAATTTTTTAATGGTGGGGCGCATCCGCCAGACCTAAAAAACCGTTACCCCAAAATTGAGCTAGATTAGCTGGAAAGGAAACCTTCTGGCACCCATTGGAAAATGTTCGGCATAGTTTCAAGTATCGTGAATGGACACTGCCAGAATAATTCAGTGGTGGGTGTATCCGTCAGACACCCCCAACTGCATCCACCCCCAAAATTGAGCTAGATTAGCTGGAAAGGAAATTTTTTGGAACCCACTGAGAAATGTTCGACATAGTCCCAGCTAGGTATCGTGAATGGCCACTGCCAGAATAATTCAGTGGTTGGGTGTGCCCACCAGACGCCTCCAACTGCCCCCACCCGGGCCTTCATTATTTAGATAGATTAGCTCAGACGTAGATAATATCCTATTATCTACTTCTGATTAGCTGGAGAGGAAACCACTGATCTATCGGTCAGCTTTGCTTCTCTACCTTTTCTTTTCATGTTGTTAATTTGCAGAATAGAAACTTCCGACAAATCTCGAATGTACAACACATTGATTTGATGAAACAACATTATTCCCTTATATAAAGCACTTCTTCTCAACACTTTTATTTCTTATATACAGTGTATATATAGTGGTTATATATACAGTATAGTTCACTGCAGCGACCCCACTTGAGTGGGACTAATAATGCGAAGAAAGAAAAAGAAGAAGTGTCTTCAAAATCATGCGGACAAGCAAAATCACCTGAACAGTTTCTCTCATAAAGCCATACGGCAAATAAATAAAAATAAAAATATTACTCACAAGGTCATCATCACAAGGTATTAACACAAAGGTATTTTATTTCTATAAAATGAAACATCATATGGCATACATTTACAATTCCAAATCACATTATTGCCTCCCAATTTAGCAGTCCAGTAATTAAACATTTTTTATTCTTCATTCACATTCAGTACTCAAGTATATCAAAATCCATTTTAATAATCAACTATCAAATTTAGTTCAAACCATAATGTTTTATGTCATTTATCATATTTGATTTCTTAACTTTACCCCTTGCAGACTCCCAGAAAAAGTGAAAGTACAAGTTGTCTAATTAAAAGTTCTCAACCATATCAATATTAGAGCTGTATATAAACCAAACTTTGGATCGTAGCATTCTATAAAATTTGTTGTTTCCTACAAGAACTCCCCGTCTTCCACCTCCACATCAGAGTCTTCATCACTCCATGCTTCACCATCTGAATCGCTCAGTACTTCCAACTCGGAATATGTTCTGTCACCTTCAACGTCCATGTCCTCTGGGTTGTTATTGGCATTTTTAAATAAGCTCTCTGGTACGGCCGGCATGTTGGCTTCAATAGGTTGTCCTTCAGAGAC